GGCGCGGGGGCCGGGCGGGGCGGGGCCGTGGCGCCCGAGTTTAGGCGGGGTCTGCCGGGATCGGATCTCCGCCGGGTTCGGAGCGCAGAATTCTCGCTCGCCTCGGCAGCGCTGCTCAGCGCGGCCGGGCTCACCTCCGCAGGGCATGACCGCGCTGCTCTCGCCGCGCGCCTGGGACTGCTAGCTTCTCCGGCGCTTCCTGCGCGCAGGGCCCCGCACCTGGTCCCGAAGCCTGGCTCGCGCTGTGCTCGCGGACCGCCGCCGTCATGGGGCTGCAGCCCCTGGAGTTCAGCGACTGCTACCTCGATAGCCCGTGGTTCCGGGAGAGAATCCGTGCCCACGAAGCGGAGCTGGAGAGAACCAACAAGTTCATCAAAGAGCTCATCAAGGACGGCAAGAACCTCATCGCGGCGACCAAAAGTAAGTGGGGGCGCGGGCGGGCTGCGGCGCGGCGAGGCCTGGAGGAGCCTCTCCCGGAGGGAGACCGACCGTCCGGTGCCCGGGGCCGGCAGCCAGAGGATTAGGAGATTGATCCGGGCGCCGGAGGCCCCGGGCTTGTTCCTCTGCGGCTCCCCGAGCAGCCAGGGGCGAGTCCCCTTTCCCGTCTCTGCCCTGCGCGGCGGCCGGAGCCGGGAGCCGTGCGTGCAAGCGCGCCGCCCGCCAGCCCCGCTGCCGCGACCCGGCTCCTTGTGTTCCCCGCTGGACCCGCCCGGGGGCAGGTTCTGTTACCCCCTAGAGCTTATCACTGTCGCTCCCGAAACAGACACAGAAGTTTCACGGGTCTTGTCAAGTCCTTTTGAGAGATCACGGGGACTGGGGATTCTTTGAAAACCTGCTGGGTGTTGAATTGTTCAGAAGGCCCTTAAGCCGTACGCTTTCCGTGTCATTTTCGGATCGCCTGCGACAGTCTCGTCCTGGGTCCCTTACTGTGCTCAACCCGAAAGTCCACCTGGCGTTGTGCTGCCTTCCGCACATTCCTTCCCTCCTCCTGCGCCGAGGACGGTTCAAAGATTGGGGCTTGTGAGGCTGTGCAGACAGCCTGCCCTCCAGCCCGAGCGAGCACTGCCTGCAGAGGGAATTTCACCCCGGTCAAGCTTAATGCTTTCCTCCCCTCTCTTCCTCCATCTTTTAACTCGGAAGTGGCCACACAGGAGAACACAATTAGTTAGTTGATTATCTGAAAAGAGTCTTTCTAGGAGGGAGGGGGCCTGAAATTCATGTTGAAACACTGAGTTGGCTGGAAATGGGGAGACATTAGCTTGAGTGGGGAGCTGCGCAGCCTGACCACACCTGTAACCCATAGCCGGTTCTGAGGAAGCCTGTGAGTGCTCCCTTTTCTCAATTAAAAAGACCTACCTACCCGTATAGCAGACTGGGAAAAATGCCCCGTGTCATCCCCTCCCCCCGTTTTGCATTAAGGAAGATGAAAACATACTGAACAGACTGTCTCAGGTACCCAGCCCAGTGCTTATTCGTTGAATGAATGAGTTGAAAGAAATACGTCTTCATGGGTAGAATTCAGTGAGCCAGCTCTGTAATTTTGGAAGCACGTCCCACGACTTCTCTGGATGTTGTCCGTGGTTTCTTTTGCCTCTGTGACCTCCTTGCAAAACGAGGACTGGGAATCACTTTGTTTGGGACATGTGATTGGTGGGCATATTTGGTTGGTGGCTCTCCAGTGCCTTGGCATTGGGTATGTGTGTTGGGATGGAGGTGGGGAGGGGCTGTAAATATGTAGGAGTGAGTGGAGAAAGGAGGAGGAGAGAAGGGTATGCGGTGCCTGTGTGTGTGTGTGTGTGTGTGCGCGTGTGTGTGCGTGAGTGCGGGTATGTGTGTGTAGTGAACGTCTCCCTCTGTAGTTTGGTCTTAACTAGCGTCACTGGGTAGGGGAATGCCCCTTCTCTCTTACTGGCTGTAGCAGCTCCCTCTGGGACATGGGGCATGAGGAGAGAGGCTTTGGTGTGGAGAGAGGTAGATGGCAAAGCCAGTTTGGCCACTGGTAGAAAGCTATTTATGTGACTGCATATTCGCTCTTCTGCCAACCGGACACATGCCCGGTGTTCCAGCAGGAGCTAGTGCATCTGGGGGGCCAGCTGTCAGCCTTCCCCTCCAGAATGTAGACTTTCTTGAGTTTGTGAATTGGCTCCTTACTCCTTTTGATTCTTGTCCTTTACCATAGGAAACATAATTTATGCTCAAAGAAAATATCTTTTCTCGTTGTGTGTAATTACCTTAAATTCTTTTCCAGAGGAGGACAGAGATACAGCTTTAGCTCACATGCTTGTGGCAAGTTAGGGGGACCTAGCCTTTGCCCAGCTTGCCCCGTACGTAAAGTTGACGTCGAGCTCCTGTCAAGACTAAGAGCCCTGGACGTAAGTCAGGACACCTGAGTGTAATTCGCCTTCATTGTTAGAGCCTGGCTACAGGACAATTGGGCAGGTCATTTTTGTGTTCAGTTTTTCTTGTCCTACTTCTTAGAGGCATCAGTAAGATTCTGCAGTGTTTGGAAATGGCTTGATTAGGTCATTTGAAATTGCAGTCTAGGTCAATCGTTGGCCTAACCAGTTGAGCTTTTCTATAACATCTGAGAAAAGCTCAAGAGGTCGAGGCAGGACCTGAGATGGAGGGGGAGCTACAGAAAGGAACAATCAGCTAGGTCAGACTGATTATATTTTCAGATGTTTTGCGCTTTGTTTTGCAAAAACGGCGTTTTGTGCATTTTCAGAATTGCATGTTTAAGTGATTTCTGCTTTTAGTTGCCCTGTAAGATGCCTCCTCCATGCGCTAAATACATGTTGGATTTATATAACTTTGATGTCTTGATGCTTTGGTTTCTTAAAAAATTTCTTAGTTGTTTGGGAATGCGTAATCTCTGAAAATTATGAAAACATCCCTGCTACATTTCTAAATACACAACTGACGGCCATATTGTTACTTCCGTGTAGAATGTCTTGATGCTTTGAATAATCCGCAGATATTTAAAGAAGTTGGAGGTGACTTCTGTGGGACCTGAAAGTTTATTGCTGAGTTCAATTATGTAGCGATCAGCAAATATTTAGCATCTACAGTTTGTTAAATATTGGGCTTGAGACACAGAGAGGAAAGAAGGTAGAGGCCCTTGTCCTTGAGGTTATTGTCCTATAGTTGAATTCAGTTCAATCTAGGGAACATGTTTGAACTGCTGCATGCATTGTGCTAAGTTCTTGAAGAAGTGAAGGATACACAGACACACATATTAAAAGATTCAGAAGATTCAGTGGCAAGGTTTCTAACTTTGACAGAAACAAGGGTATGTTGTAGGTTAGAGTGGAAGTTTGGGAACTCATTGGTGTTTTAAGGAAGGGATAGAACCTTGTAGAACCTTGTTAGATTGGAAACAGCTGAGAAGAAACCAGCGCGCCCCCCACCCCCCGCCAGCCGCCAGCGTGTCTGAAGAGGATGAGAAGACCAGTTTGGCTGGAATGGCGATGATTTCATTTGGGGGAGGAGGATGAGATTCATGGAAAGGTCAGTTTCAGATTGTGGAAGCCATAAAAGTGGGCTTGGAATGTGGGCTTTATCCTGTGGAGAATCACTGACATAATGGGAAAGAGATGGTTTAGAGGCTGTGTATGGTATCTCTCTGTGTGTCAGGTGATTTTTGGAGATAGCAGTGGGGCTGGGGAGGGGCTGTGGAGCGGAGAGTCTGGGACCACTGATTTATGTGGTGGATTAGGAGAGCATTCACTCAGTTCAGTGGGGTCTTTGTTTAAACGGTTTTATTAGCCCTTTTTCTTTTTTCACTGCTTTCCTAGAATAATCAGTGTCTTCTTTCAATACAGTTTAAACTTTTGTGAGCCTTTCGTAGGATGTCTATGTAGTTGCAGATGCTTATGATTCATAGAAACGCATAGTCTGTTTACCAGAAACAGCAATAAGCTATATATACTTTTCTCATAAATTTTACAATTAGGTGTTTTTTTTCTTTTTAAATTTATTTATTTTAATTTTGAGCTGTGTTGGGTCTTTGTTGCTGCGCGTGGGCTTTCTCTAGTTGCAGTGTGCGGGGGCTACTCTTCATTGCAGTGCTTGGGCTTCATTGTGGTGGCTTCTCTTGTTGCAGAGCGTGGGGTCTAGGTGCATGAGCTTCAGTAGTTGTGGCCCGTGGGCTCTAGAGCTGGAGGCTCAGTAGTTGTGCACGGGCTTAGTTGCTCTGCGGCATGTGGGATCTTCCTGGACCAGGGCTCGAACCCGTGTCCCCTGCATTGGCAGGCAGATTCTTAACCACTGCGCCACCAGGGAAGCCCCAATTAGGCATTCTTGAAAGAATATGTTCTGTTCTAGAGAAGGAAATATACTTTTTAAACGAATAGTCCTTACAGTTCTTAAGCACTTACATAGCTAAGTAGAAGGCTTTTTAGTAAACTTAGATCGTGTTTGTGTGTGTGTGTGTGTGTGTGTGTGTGTGTGTGTGTGTGTAAGCGTAAGCTGGAGGGGTCCTCATAAGTGAGCCTGTTCTCATCACAGATGTGGAGAAGGTTGTTAGTGGCGGCCAGGACTAGAACTTGAGTCTTTCAAGTCTTGGTTTTGGTACTTCTTTAGGCCTTGATGTTTTAATGATTTCTGCCTTGTTTTTCTCAGGACAACATAAAAGTTCCCTTTTGCTGTCTTTGTATTTATTGCTGCAGAAACATGGTTCACGTGGTAATTCCTTTTGGGGAAATTTCCCAGGTTGCTCTTGCATGGAAACATAGGGAGATTTGGAAGACTTAAAAGAATTTCACTTTGTAAACTTCAGCCTCGGTCTCCTTATTTGTAAGATGGGACTGTTGCATATAGCCTTGAGGATTGAACCACGTGTGCCCAAGTGTTTTTAAAACACAAGTGTGAAGCGGTTGTGTAGGCTCTGTTGTTTGCCCAGCTAATATTTTTTTTCTGACAATCCAAATTTTGTTCAGGTGTCTACACTCTTTACCAAGCGACTCATAGAAAGGTGATTAGGGATAATTCTGATTAATCTGACTCAGTGGTTCTCAATCCTGAGCATGGCTGACCCATAGAATCACCTGGGGAGCTGTAAAAACCATGCAGTTGGGATTGAGAAACACTGAACTCTAACAACTCAGCACAGTAAACCTATTTTCTGGGCTGGTAATTGGATAAATGAGGATGTATCTCAGTTCTGACCAGTGAGACATGATAGGAAGTCTGCTGGAGACTTTGGGAAAGGTTTTCTTTTGTGTGAGAGGAGACTCGTAAAAAGGGTTCTTGACTCTTCTGTGATGTCTGGTTGTGTTGCCTGGAGGTGCTCCTGCCATCTTGGGACGGTGAGTGGAGCTCAAGGTAAGGACCATTGGAGCAGAGAGGTAACTGAATCTGGGTTTTTGATGCGGTCATGGAAGCCACTGATGGTTCTGTGCCTGAAGCCTACCTCTGCATAG